GTTATCATCAGTTCAACAGACAAGTGAACTGTAGTAGCAGGAGAGAAAAGTGCACCTACCAATAAAGTTGAAATCAGACCATTTTCACTTTCATTCTTTCTGATTGCTTCCATTCTATTGAGTTTTCGCTTCTTCACCTCGTCAGCTTCTCGGTTTGAATCCTGCAATACGGCTTTATCTTTGCGTGAGAATAGCAATGCTGCAAGTTCTCTGTCAGTATCAGCCATGTGAGCAGCTCGATATGTCCGTGTCAATTTCATTCCTGCATACAGTGACACTAAAACAAAGAATATGTAACTATGGTAACTACTTCAAGCAATGCTGTTTCCAATCAGATAGTATGCATAGCTCAAAAATAATTATTTGAAATATAGTACTGTAATTTTTTATTAGTTGCATTCCTCTGTTAGTTGGACTACATAATTTATTGTTAAAACAATTTGGTATTTTCCACCAGCATGTCCTCTAACTGAATTGATTTTGTTGCAAGTCAAATTGGAATCCCCCAAAATCAAGTTATTAAGTCAGCTTGTTAACTTCAATTAACTTCAACTTGTTAATTGTTTGTGACTGTATAGATGATTTGAGACTCAAACAAAAACATTGAGGCCTCTGATTTCCTTTGTATTTTATTTATAAAATGTGAATTTCATTTTACCAAATTACAAATTCCATAAGATGTTTCTCAAGATCAGTAAATCAATGTTTGATTTTCTGTTGTGTCAATGATTTGCCAGCACAATTTAATTGTGCCACAGCAAATCTTTTTGGACTGTTATTTCTCATTAAATTATTCCAACAGTCAAAATGTAAAAGATGTAAAATAGGACATAATAGTCATAATCCCTGTTCAAGACAAAAAAGTACATGAATCAGCTTGAAAAAGTTTCCTACTTGGCTAGAACAACAGAAGCGAGTCAAGACATATTTTGTGACAAAAAATGACCATTTTTTAACCCAAAACATACTGAAATGTGCTCAGTGCTTCACCCACACAATGTATGTCCCTTGAAGCTGCGTCTCATAATACTGAATATTTTTTATATATTCAGCTTGACTAAAATACAAAGCTGGGAAATGACAAAACATCATTTTCGGTCTATTTATGACCCAAAATGATATTTTTTACGTAAAAATACCCCTAAATATGCATGAATCATATCATACGGTTATCATGAAAATACCACAAAGTAGACAAATAGGCACTATGAAACGGTTAATATGATCGCTGTACTGCTTTTGTTCATACTTATATTGTGATGACCTCATAATAATAGTAATAATGTGACCGTGAACTGTCTGATTGCATACTTTGCAGTATCCTCATAATAACCTTATTATTATACATCTTTTCCTCCCAGGAATACATCATGGGAATGCCAAAATCCAAAATGTTTAGAACAGATTTAGTATTTTTTATTATTAGAGAACACTTACGCACGTAATCATATTTGGAATTTGTGTTTCCAAATATGGTAGGATGAAAATACCCCGTAAAATAACGCAAAATTACAGCACGCTGTAACTTATGGTGTTACGGTGACAGATGTATAATAATATTATATATTTCAACCACATGACCTTCAAAATTACAGGATTACAGTATTATGTAGCACATCATAAAAGGAAAAATTGAACATATGTGGTAATAATAATAAACTTACATTTCGGAGAGGATATAGTATTAAGACTACCACCAAGGAAAGTACCACTGCCCTCATCCTGTACAACAACTCTGGATTTCTGCAGATGTGTGTTACCAGCCTTTAATAATTTCACTTCAATAGGATGGCCAATGTTTGCCATACGTAGATGCAGTCTGCCTTTCAATATTGTCGTAACACCAACCGGTCTCACGCTACCACCTCGTGTCTGTAATATAATAACATTATTAAATGGTTGGGTGGGTCACGTATACAAAGGTAGATTGGCTGGCACCAGTAATTGGATGAATAGATGTAGGGGATGGGAACTAATGGGCTGGAGGTTTGACTGGATGGATGAAAAGATGGGGTTTAGATCAGAGGTTATGATGGTTTGATAGAATGGATAGGTAGGTACATAAATGAAAGTAGGTAGGATAGATGGCTGAATGGGTAGACTGGTAAGATAGATGTTGGTGATAGATAGGTTGATATGATGAGATGAATTGGTGGGCATAGTGAACAAGTTAAAATTAAACTAGATACATGAGAAGAATATGAGTCTTGATCAAAACTTGGAGAAATGAGTTGAATACTACTACTTTATTAAAACTTGATACATTTTATTTCCACCACATATTGTGAACAAACTATCAGAGGGTAGAGAATAGGTCAAGAAAATCTCTTTAGTTGATTCACATTCATGTCAACAGTTTCACAGGCTATAATTAGCATTAAATGTGTGAAGGTCGTTCATTAATTATATTCTAATAATCACATAAGGTAATAAGGTAACACATGATAATTATCACCTGCTGTGAAATACTTTATTTTAGCTGGAATTAATTTTATTATTTTGTATGGAATTTATTTACACTGTTTTTTGATGAGTTATATGTGAGACATAGAAAAAAAGTTTATTCGCTGGATTTTATTTTCACTGAAGCATCCCTTCAGCGAAAATAGCGAAAATAAATTCTAAGCGAAGTATTCTACAGTAAATCATTAATGATAATAATTATCACATAGCTATAGTTACAACGACATTGTCCTGATATCAATTTGGATAATGACAGAGACGTACTTCATACTAGGCATTGACTAAATTATATAAATAAATGAAATCATCACTGGCATGACTGTATTTACCACAAATATAATTTGTTCAAATCTTGTAATTTTCAAACAATAAGTTGGGCTGTAACTTTGTACATTGTAAAATATCTTTTAGGGACAACATACAAAGATTTGCATCCAACTTGGACTCGTGCAAGGATGAGATATAAAATCAAATGTAGCAGCCTATCTACATAATACCAGTGCAGTTGTTGAGTAACTACACAGCTTGGTCAGCTGTACCTATGTGTGAATGATTATCCATCAAAAGTTGAGATAAAACAAAACGCTGAAATCAGATTATTAACCTGTCATCTGAGATTTTTATACTACCGGTAAGTTTGATTGAAACTGTTTATAAAAATTTAAGACATTTGTTATTTTAAGACTATAATATCTCCCAGTCATCCAAATTAGATCAGAACAAAAATCAAAATAGTGATACGATGAACAGTGGTCATCGTGCTATACATTTGTGGTGTTTTTTTTTCAACAAATTATTGATGTTATTGTTGGTTTTGTGTTCACACAGTGAGAAATTAACAAAAGTATTCATTGATAGTACTAGTGTAGTATAAAACTGTACTCACTAAATCTCCTGTTAATGCTGGTGAATCTTCAGTGTACTCTGTGGTAATCACGTCTAATTCGTGAGTAACTTGAACCGCATCTCGACCACTTCGTAACAAATGCTGAAAACAAAACATATTTTAATAGCTGTCAATCAAAGCAACACAAGCTCCCCAGGGTATGGGGGCGCATGGCCATGACATGAGGGCGCTGCGCCCCGTTCCCTTGTTTAAAAAAATCCCTGGGTCTTTATTAAAATGTTTTTCGTAGACAACTTGTACAGTTGACATAATATTTGATCACAAAATAATGAGATAGTACTGGCGCAAAAAAACACATTTATTTCATTTTAATCAAAATTCTGAATTTTAAAAACTTCGAAAATTGTTTTTATAAACAGAATGCTAATTATTAATTTGATCTCTAAACACAGGTGAATCAGCAAAACTAATGTTGAAAATGTGGTCACTTGAGACAGGTGGTCTTCATACACAGGTTGCTCATACATTACAACCTTGGGACTGCTTAAAATTGATCACTATAGACAGGTGGTCTTTATATAATAGAGGTTTGACTGTAGCAGTAAAATACCCATGATATAACTGTACACAATAAGTATACTTGTCATGCATGTGTCTCCTGCAGTTGACACCTTGCGTGTGTGGAGTTAGAAAATTCTGCCATCAAGATTAGACATAGCTGGAAATGAGCAAAACACACACGATTGATAACTTGTTTCCTACCTTCAGGGGAAGAGCACATGATCCTATAAGCAATAACGAGTCTCCATCCCACACATCTATATGTAAAGTTTGCTGGTACAGAAAACGTACAAACATCTTTCCTTCACCGGGCTTCATGTAA